AAGCAATTCTCCTGCCTCAGCCTTCCAAGTAGCTGGGATTATAGGTGCCCACCACCACGCCTGGCTAATTTTTGTATTTTTTGGTAGAGACAGGGTTTTGCCATGTTGGCCAAGCTGGTCTTAAACTCCTGACCTCAAGTGATCTGCCTGCCTTGGCCTCCCAAAGTGCTGGGATTACAGACATAAGCCACTGTACCCAGAACCAACTACTTTTTAAAAATGCGACAGAAAACATTCCTAAGGACAAATCCACTTTCCCTCCACTGCCATCACCCAGACCAGGCCATCCTCCCGCCCGTCCAGGGACCCAGCTGGTATCCTCCTCCTCTGTGCGCCCCCATGTCCCCTCTCTGCAGATGCCAGAGCGGACACGAATCCTGTCACCATTTTCTGACCCAGACACCCTTCCCATGGCCGCTGGGCCATGGCTGTACCCTCATGTGTGTGTCCAGCACCTGTTTTCCTCAGGGAGCCACAGGGGCCACCAGGGAGGGCCAGGCCCTTTCACTGTCCTGGTGCCTGGCACGTAGAGTTCAGTGAGTGCTGGATGAGGGTGAGACTATGGGTCGTCCTGATTGATTCTGGCCAGTGAGATCAAATCAAACCTCATTTGCTGGGCTTTCTTAGATGTGGGGGAGAACGTCACGAAGAGAAGTCAAGCGTAACTGTGGAGAAGAGCCCTTGGTTTCTCAGGCCCCTGAGATGGATAGCATCATGGTCCTGCCTGCAGTCGCTCTCCGCAGGGCTTCCAGAGAGGAAACTTCCCATCGCTCTCCTCAGCTCGGGCTCACCAAGGGCCCTGGGGAACAGCCACCAGGTGACTGCTACAGAGCGGTGCTGGGTGTCACCAAGGAAGGAGCAAAGGCACCCAGTGGCTTATCTCGAAATCCCTGTCTGCACCTGGCTGGTTCTGTTGAAAACTGGAGAGATTTCCTAAATCATTCTGGGATGTAAATGGAAAATCTACTGTAGACTGGAGGGCCTGAGACGTGGACATGGCAAGGCTGACGGGAACCGGCAGCACAATATGAATTATAACTGCACTGGTGGTTTCCCCAGTCTCCTCGACGAAAGTTCAAAAAGCATTCTTGACCCACTATTGTTTAATCCATGGACTAAAAAAAACAAATCGTTGAATGGTTGTCAGCTGCGAATGTTTAGACTAAAGACGAAGTTTTTCTTATTTTTATCTTTTGAGACAAGGCCTCACTTGGTTGTGCTGGCTGGACTACAGTGGCGTGATCATGGCTCACCGCAACCTCCTTTCCCCAGGCTCAGATGATCCTCCTACCTCAGCCTCCCAAGTAGCTGGAACTACAGGTGCAAGCCACCATGCCTGGCTAATTTTAAACTATTTTTTGTAGAGATGGGGTTTCGCTATGTTGTTCAGGCTGGTCTCAAACTCGTGGACTCAAGTGATCCTCTCATCTCAGCCTCCCAAAGTCCTAGGATTACACGTGTGAACCACTGTGCCCGGCTGAAGTTTTTAACAAGAGGTTTCTGCAGATGCGCATTGGATGCAGCTGTGGAACACACACTGGGAAAAGCCTTGGTGAGACCAGGATATCAGAGTCGGGCAGGAAAGAAACCTCGCAGTGTGGAGCACGGTTTGGACCCAGCTCCAGCTGGGAGCTCGCTCACCTGGGGAGTGGTGATGATCACCGCTCCGTCGATGTGTGCGGCGGCCAGGTACTGGACGACCGAGAGGTGTTCATCTGACGTCCCGGGTGGGGTGTCCACGATGAGGTAGTCGACCTCTCCCCAGTCCACATCTCGGAGGAACTGCTTGATCATGCCTAGAAAGAGGAATCCGCAGGGGGTGCTTATTTCCTTTCTTTTCTGTACTTACAACTCCCTTCTTTTTTAAAGGATGGGGTCTTGCTTTGTTGCCCAGGTTGGCTCTGAACTCCCAGGCTCAGGCAATCCTCCCACCTCAGCCTCCCAAGTAGCTACGACTATAGGTGCGTGCCACCATGCCCAGATCAAGGAGAAGCATGATCTGATCTTTTTGTGCCTTTGGTCTATGCTGTAAATCAGTGGCTCTCAACTGAGAGTGAATTGCAATGACTGGAGACATTTTGGGTTGTCACAAATAGAGTAGAGGGTGGTACTGGCATCTTGTGGGTAGAGGCCAGAGCCACTGTTTAACACCCTATGATGTAGAACACGGTCTACTCCTCCCCCAGTAAAGACTTATCTGGCTCAAAGTATCAATAGTGCTAAGGCTGAAGCTTGCCCTGATAACACTTTCACATTATTACCTTAAGTCTCAGTACCAGATCAGCCTGCTGCTGATCTCACCTCTCT